AATTTATATTATATATCGTCTAATTTATCCTATCGTCTAATTTATATTATATATCGTCTAATTTATCCTATCGTCTAATTTATATTATATATCGTCTAATTTATCATATCGTCTAATTTATATTATATATCGTCTAATTTAACCAATTGATACACTAAAGTAAACAAGTGCAAACTATTGCATACAATAGTTTCAGTCACATTAAAACAATAAGGGCGTATAGTATCACCTGATTATTAAGATTTTACATAGAATCTTATAGGCCGTCTAATAATATGGTTAGGAAATGTAGGTAAGTAAGCAACTATTAAACATTTTAATGTTACTATTCCGGATATTGCTGCCTAAAGTTGAATTAAGTTTCTCCACATTACATAGAAATGTAACTAACCGGACGTAAATTTAGTATAACGAATTATAATAGTAAATTAAATATAATTTTTTTTCGACTACGCCTAATATTTGTCCTAGAGTTATTATTTGAATATGTATTTTATTGCAACCATGAATATATTTGTTTTGTTTATCTATGAACTTCCGTTGCATAATTAGCTTTTGTTCTACATGGCTTCGCGTCTGTCTTTGTGTTAAGTAAGAAAAAATACAAATCTTTCGTTGTGAAAGAATCTAGAATGTGTCACTTAAAAGAAAATTCATATTTGACGTGATAGACTTACTCGAAATAGAATCTAAAGTACAGTTGCTAACTATACAAATGCCACGTCTCGGCAGCGAATCAGGATCAAAGCACGCTGACGTCACTTGCGGGTATCTAATGAAGAATGAAAATTCGGAAATCTTTGACTAGGATCAGCTTAAAATTAAGACAAGTTATAACGGTATTTACCTTTTTCTGTATTTCTAGTTAAATGGTATTTTATTTTGATTTGATAACAGAAGTATTATACGTACATTCGTCAAAACATTAGACATTTAACTATGACACTTATTGTGTTTAACTTATTTTGTCATTTCAGAGATTTTATTAAACAGTATATAAGTATTTACTTTTTAATACGTAATATTTACTCTTAAAATAAACTCTCTGTGAAACTGCATTCAGTCAAAGTATGCAAACAAAATATGAACATTAAATAATTAATATCCGAAACTGAATTAACTTTGCTTAGTATCGTTAAACTATCTTTTGGAGCTAAATATATAGATGTTATTGCTAAATGTGCAAGAGTTTTTATAGTAAACAAAAAATGAATGAAAAGTTATAAACCAAATTTTCGGATCTTGTTCCACCAGTAAGCGAGCAAAATGATTAAATTTAAATTTTCTTCCAATCTAAGCAGAAACCAAATCTGTGAGTAAGGATGAACGTAACGTTTTCCTTATTCCTTTCCATTTTTTTAAAGATGCGTGAGTGCTGTTTTTAAAGTTAACTAAGAGAGCCTGTAAGAAAAATTATCGAATTCTTAAAAAAAAATTCTGTTGTTAAGTATTTAATGAAATATAGTATTATGTTACTAAAATTTTAAGGCATTTAAAAAAACATATTTCAAACTAGTGACAGCTCAGTGACTCGTCGGTTTTAAAGAAATAGTGTATTTTACTAATATAGCCAAGTAGAGGGAAATTTTAAATTTTTTTTTAATGTTCAATAATGTAAAAAAATTTTTCTGTAGATAAACATATTACTTCTGTGGAAGTTTCTGAATCTCTGGAAAAAGGAACATGCAACCTTGAGGCATTTTTTCATTTAAAGCTCTTCACCTCCAGGAGAGAAAAAAGTTCTAAAATGGTACTTCCTTTCAACGAAAAAATAACAGTAGTTGATTTGGAATTAAGTAACAAAAATTTTATATCAACGATCGAATCCGATGTACAGAAAACAAACCCAAGATCGATTTCTTTCGATAGGTATATTTACCCCAGTGATTATTGCTTGGCAGAATTTTCATCCAGAGTTTATTCAGAACAGGGAAATTGTGCAGATCCCCTTGGACAAGGTTGGGTTTTATTGATGACTGCGAGCAACAAAGATGACGGATATTTTGGCGCCGCTTATTGGAACAGCGAGTGTAAACAAGTTGTTATCGCACACAAAGGCACACAGAACCCATACGATCTCTGGGCAGATTATCAAGGCATTTTATCGAACGAATACACTTCTCAAATGAATTCTGCTGCTACTTTTTCCCATTATGTAGCAACCATGATAAAGCAACTTAATAAGAAGTATTCAACAAACTTGACTCTTTCTGTTACTGGGCATTCACTTGGCGGATGGTTGGCGCAAGTTTCGGCTTTTACCATTCAATACCTTGTTCCTCAGTTTTTCGATTATAAAGGTTACATTTTCGTTAAAAGTAAAGAAGAAGGCTGTCATACTCATACGGTGGCTTTTGATAGTCCTGGATGCAAAGATATGTTGTTGAAAATGGAAAGTGACTTTGATGTGCGTTACAGCGGCAAGCCCCATTCGTCTTTCTTTTTAGATGTCACAATTTACCTTTCAGCACCAAATTTGGTCAATACCCTTCACTCCCACCTTAACGTTGGCAACTTATTCCGTGTTTTTATCGAAAACTTACCGTCAAGAACATCTACTTGGGATCTTTTTCAATACACGAGTGAAACGCACAGTATTCAAAAAATTAAAAGGGTATTTGTTTCCGAACGAAACAGCGAATCAAGGGAGAAGATAATGAAGGTTGTAGATTGGCCACTGGTGAACGAAGGGTTGGGTGGAATAGTGCTTAAGAAATTATTCACTTCAAACCAAAACGAATACGAACGTTTTCATGAATTAGCAAATTGTACTAATTATTACAATCCTTCTACTGGTAGTGATGAGTATTGTGCTCTCCGTTATCAAGTTCAGGTTTTTAATAAAGAAGAATGTAGTGCTAATATTTTTACACACCCAGAGTTTGAATTTCTGAACGGATATAAAATTCTAAAAAAATTCTCACTGTTTTCCACCGTTGACGACTTATTATTTTCTCTTGAGGAAATGGCGAAAGGAGAAATAATTAAAGTCGAAGTGGAAGAAATACTAAAATATTTTGAGATAGAAGAAGGGGAAGGGAGAGGTGTTATTAAGTGTAGTTCGATAGAACAACTTCAAAAATTGATTACTTGTGTCAAAAATATCCTGTTTATTTGTCCAAATATGCACACTAAAATAAAAGATGCGTTGAAGAATTGGGATGTCTATAACGTTGTTTACAAAACGCAATCTCTTGAATATCTTCATTCGATTAAATGTATTGAGTTTGAAGATGCAACTATGAAATATCTTGTTGATTTTCTTAAAAGTACTGACTTGCATTTTTTGCAAGTAATAAGTAAAGCGCATGCGCTGATAGAAGTAAAAAGAATACACAAGGTTATAAATAAGACAGCAAATGACTATGAAACGTTTTTTCTAAGCCTGACGAAATTTCAAAATTTAGAACAGTTTTTTCCAGTGACTAACTTTTTAAAACAGTCAGATAAAAGCATCCCCATGCTTTTTGTACTCGATTATGATTTTGAGCCCAGACAAGCAACTAACTTATTTATTAAATTATTCAATGCTTTTGAAGGTAGACCTAAAACTAAATTCATTTTGGTTTCTCAACAAATGAACACTTTAGAAAATATTTTGGAATTTAATAATAATCTGTACCATGAAATGATGGATTATTATGATACGAAACTTGACGATTTAACCGCAGATTCACAGCGAGAAATTTTGGAGAAAAAAATTTATTTTCAAGGAGAGGAGTTAAGTTTGGGTTCCCTGGTAGTAGGAGATTTGAAACATTTAATAAATGACGAAATTTTATCAAAACTAATCAACAATGACGCAATCGAGGTTGGTAAAGCCCTTCCTGACTTAGGAGATGTTGAGAATTACTACATTGATCGAACTTTTAATCGTTGTGTAAACGTTGATAAAAATATTAAAGAGTCTAATGAATTTTATATTACTGATAATAGTCAAATTGATAAATCTGAATTTAAACCGGGTCAAGATATAGTGTTAATATCTAGGATAGAAGAACATTTTATTGAACTATGCAATGAAAACGAAGACCTTAATGTTCATTGGCTGACAGAAGATAATGAATGTTTTGTATGGCAAAAATCTCGTGGTGCTTTATCAAACTTACGAGAGTTTATAGATGTAAATACAGACAATGTTGCAGACTGTGATATAGAGGGCTCTGTAGTAATTATAAGTTCAGTATCTGGTGCTGGTAAATCTACTGCATTGACGAAACTGGCGCAAAATATTAAAAAACGTGATCCTGCCTTGTGGGTTGTGAAAATTACCTTGAATAATTATACAGAGAAGCTATCAAATGAAGAATTTGGCAAAGATAAAAGCGAAATTGTTACATTTTTAGCAGATATGGCGAATTTAACCACAATTTTAGAACGCAAATTATTCGAACATAGACTGAATCACCAAGGTAGAGTTGCTCTGTTACTTGATGGATTCGATGAGATTGTTCCTGATTATAAAAAGAAGATTCTTGAGCTAATAGACATTCTAAAGGCAACTAAAATCGAAAAGCTTTGGATTACTACCCGTCCACACTTGAGAAGTTTATTGGAAGATAAACTATGCGTACTATCATATACACTAAAACTGTTATCTGAAAAAGACCAGTTAATGTTTTTTAAAAAATATTGGAAAAAATCTCTGGGTATTACTTTTACCGATGAAATGTATTTCGAAAAATTTGTCAAAAAGTTACTTCACAGTATATCAGAGCCAATGTCTGATGAATCTAAAGAATTTACTGGAATACCATTGCATACCAAAATGATGGCAGAAGCTTTTCAAGAAGAGTTTAAGAATTCTAATCATCACATAAATCAAAACGAATCAGTCTTTCCCCAGAAGCTGAATTTATTTGGTCTATATCGAGCTTTTATTCAGAGCAAGTTCAAACGCCATTTTGCGGAAAAAGGTATCATGGATTTTACGAAACCGGGGTATCACAATAAATTACTATTCTCTTCCTTTTTAGAGCGATATTCCTTATTAGCTTTAAATTCTCTTTTCTCTGAAGATGATTTAAATAAGTTTCTTAATGAATATGAGATGGATAATTTGTGTAAGTACCTAGAACAAGTAAACGAAGGGGAAGAAAATTTAGGTTTCATCAGTCATATATTCGGCGCCAAGCCAATATTTATTCACTACAGTTTCGCTGAATACTTCGCTGCTCTTTTCTACTCTAACAACATAAAAAGGGAAAAAGTGAAGGAGTTTGTATGTGAAAGAATATGTTCCCTTGGGACAGTATTGAGAAGTGATTTAACGCGCATGTTTTTCGATTATATGGTTGCTGACGATGAAGATAAATGTAAAGTGCACATAGCTGTTTTAAACAATGACAGAGATAAACTTGAAGAGTTATTACCATGTGTAGACACAAGAAGTTTGGACATCAATTCTACTGACAGAGTAGGAAGAACGGCTCTCCACTTAGCTACTGCGTATGGTTACTTCAATATCACGAACTTTCTATTAAATCGGGGTTGCGATGTCAACACTAAAGACCAACTTTTTGGTCTTACTCCTTTGGGATACGCTGATAAAAGTAATAATTGGATTATTGCTGAATCACTTCTCGAAAAAGGAGGGAATGCTGTCGACTTGTGTGAAGCAAAGAAAATCCTTGAAAACTTCGTTTTTGATAATATACTAGATAATAAAACGACATTATTGCATGTAGCAGCAAGAAAGGGATTAAAAAAGTTTCTTAATGCTCTGTTAGATGACACACCTAACCTGATAAATGCGAAAGACTGCTATGATCGTACACTTCTTCACATAGCTATCGATGAAGAACACGAAGAGATTGCTAAAATTTTAATAACTAGAGGAGCTGACATTAATGCTAGATATGCTTTGCACACTCCTCTTCACATAGCTGTTGAAAAAGGTCACGAGGAGCTTTCGAAGCTTTTATTATCAGGAGGAGCTGATACTGAGATCGGTGATCCTTGTATGTATACAGCTCTTCATGTAGCTATTGGTAAAGGTTACAAAGAGCTTGCGAAGATTTTAATAGCCCATGGAGCCAATATTGACGCCAAAATTTCTCGCGGTAGTAGCCCTCTTCACTTAGCTATCGTAAAAGGTTACGAGGAGATAGCAAAGCTTTTAGTTACACGAGGAGCTGATATTGAAGTTAAAGATGCAAATAATTTTACTCCTCTTCCAATAGCTATCTTTAATGGGCAGGAGGAGGTTGTGAAGCTTTTAACAGCCCGAGGAGCTCATTTTAAATCTAAAGATCCCTTATACGGTGAGATCCCTTTATCCACAGCTATGTTCTTAATAAATCAAGGAGTTAATCCCAAAGCTAGAGACGGCTTTGGTCGTACCCCCCTTCACATAGCTATTCTTAAAGGATACGAGGAAATAGCTATGTTTTTAATAGCAAAAGGGGCTGATATTGAGGCTAAAGATTATAGTGGTCGTACTCCCCTGGATATAGCTGTTTACAGGGGGGAGAAAGATATTGCTGAGCTTTTAATTGAACGAAGAGCTGATATTGAAGACAAAGAAACTCATGGCTATACACCTCTTCACATAGCTGTCAACAGAGGTGACAAGGTGGCTGTTGAGCTTTTAATATCTCGAGGAGATTATATTGAGGCTAGAAATCTTCGTGGTGCTACCCCTCTACACATAGCTATAGGCAAAGGACGCCAGGAGATAGCTAAGCTTTTAATACCACAAGTAATGAACATTGAAGCTAAGGATGCCGATGGTTATACTCCTCTCCAATTGGCTACCCTTAAGGGTCACAAGGATCTTGTTAAGCTTTTAATCACTCGTGGAGCAGATTTTAAAACTAAAGATCACTGTGGTTGCACCCCTCTTCACGTCGCTATTCGTAAAGGTTATGAGGAAGTTGCCAGTGTCTTAATAACACGAGGAGCTGATACTGAAGCCGAAGATCCCGGTGGCTACACCCCTCTTCACAAAGCCATCGATGAAGGTCACGTGGAAGTTGCAAAGCTTTTAATAACGCGAGGAGTTAATATTGAAACCAAAGATCCTTGTGGTTATACCCCTCTTCAGAGAGCTGTCGATAAAGGTTACGTGGAGGTTGCAAGAATGTTGATAACACGAGGAGCTTATATTGAAGCCAAAGACCCTACAGGAAATACCCCTCTACATGTAGCTATCGGTGAAGGCCACGAAGAACTGGCTAAGCTTTTGATACGAAGAGGGGCTGATATTGGAACTAAAGATTCTTCTGGCAATACCCCTCTTCACACAGCTATTTGCGAAGGTTACAAGAAAATAGTTAAACAATTGATAAGAAGAGGGGCAGATATTGAAGCTAAAGACTCTCGTGGTTGGACCCCTCTTCACACAGCTATTCTTGGAAGTCACGAAGAGATAGCTAAGCTTTTAATAACACAAAGTGCTGATATAACAGCTAAAAATACTTTTGGTTGCACACCTCTTCACTTAGCCGTTCTTGGAACTCACGAGGAGATAGTTAGACTTTTACTAAAACGAGGAGCTGATATAGAATCTAAAGACTCGTCAGGTCGTACCCCTCTTCACCTAGCTACTTTTAATGGTAAGGAGGAGATATCTAAGCTTTTAGTAACACAAGGAGCAAATATTGATGCTAAAGATTATCGGGGTCGTACTCCTCTGGACGTAGCTGTTGATAACGGTCAAAAAGAGTTCGCTGAGTTTTTAATTAAACAAAGAGCTGCTATTGAAGGCAAGGATCATAATGGTAAGACATCTCGTTGCACAGCTATCAGCGAAAGTTACGCAGAGATTGCTAAGCTTTTAATGATCCGAGGAGTTTGTATTCAAGACAAATATCCTTATGATTCCACCCCTCTACACATAGCTATCATTGAAGGTCTCGGGGATATTGCTATGCTGTTAATAAAGCATGGGGCATATAATAATGTCAAAGATCTTCGTGGTAATAGCCCTCTTCACATAGCTATCCGTGGAGGTCACGTTGAGTTTGCTAAGCTCTTAATAACAGGAAAGGCTGATATTGTAGATAGAGATCTTAGTGGTTATACCCCTCTACACCTAGCTATTGATGAAGATCAAGAGGAGATTGCTGAGCTTTTAATAAGACATGGGGCTGATATTGAGGCCAAGAATCCTTTTGGTAACACACCTCTTCATTTAGCTATCTGTGAAGGTCAGAAGAGGATTGCTAGGCTATTATTAGAACGAGGGAGTAATGTAGAAGCTAAAGATTTTCGCGGTCGTACCCCTCTTCAAGCAGCTATCGTTGAAGACCAAAGGGAGATCGCTAAGCTTTTAGTAACAAGGGGAGCAAATATTGAAGCTAGAAATTCTTTCGGTCGCATTCCTCTGGACATAATACATAGGTGCCGCAAGGAAATTGCTTCAATAATAAGAAGAGCTAACAGGGCAAAATACCTCAATGGACCCAATGCCACAAGCTCATGATCACGAATTATTATTAAACAAAATATCAACATATTTAAAGAATAAAAATATTGCATCTTGATCTAGTGCTGAATATTGAGTTCAGTCGTTCTCTTTCCTAAACTGTATGAAAAACTTTTTTTTACAATTTAGCAGTAAAATGAAGCATATGATGCAAGATTCATATGATACAAGGCGATGAAGCAAGCGTGGAGGACAGCTTACTCTCGTGAGAGAAGATGGAAGACTGATAGATGACCATAGGAATAGACCACCGGTCATTCATTACAGCTGAATTACAACAAGGATGGTCGTTTTGTCTGCCTACATAATATGCGTTTCAATTTAGCCCAAAGGTGTTCTAAGGGGTATAAATCACACTCAATTCATCAAAATCGATTGGAGCAGCTATTCTGCTGGAGGAGAAATCAGCTTTTCTCCGAAATATTGCCATAGAATTAGACAATTTCCACCTGCATCTCAGAGTTCACGTTTTCGCTCACAAGGACTAAAGGACTCAGACCAAAACATGAGAAACACTCCCATACCATGAAAAGATCATCTATAGTTTGTCTAAAGTAAGAACTCCCCTTGCCATTCGTCTGAACCCGTGGCGGTGACTATGGTTACGAGTTATAACTATTTCAAATAGGTGTGTGGGGTCATTGTAAGGGACAGGATTTGGTTCGGGGTGGCGAGAGAAAGGGAATCTACCCTCCCTGAAATGCGCTGTTCTTGTTTCTATAGCAGCAGACGACCTCAAACTTTAGGACGGGGGGAGCTCTTACCGTAGACAAACTATACTTTATTTTAATGTCCGATTACTTTTAGTCAGATAGAGTAAATGGAACCATAATTTTTACTAGTTAAGGTAATCTTTAAGTGTTTTTAATTTAAGTCATTTTTCCATAGGACACGATTGTACATTTTGTCAGATGAACATTCTAACATGAATTCTATTATGAATATTCTAATGCGAATAATATGAACCTCAATATGAATTATCTAATTGTAAATCTAATTGTAAATAATTGTAAATTGCATTGTAAAAGGTATTAAATAACTTATAGTATTTACATGGTTAAAGTATGACTTAAAATATTGTGCTGTAAATATGTACACTTTATATGCGTAGTTAATTCTTTTATGTATTAATTACACTTGATTTCGAATGTACTCGAAGCTTTATTTTGTTAATACTTTTATTACTCTCTTTGTCCTTAATAGCGCAAACCGCATTCAGATCTGATTATAACCTATTTAATACCTTTGTCAATTCTGGGTAATGAATTTGAAATGTTTCAGTAACTAATTGATGTTACCTTAATTTCTTTATTTTTTTTAAATTTACAATGCGACAGGTTTGTGTTGTAAAAGATTTATATTTTTTTTATGTATACTGTCCTAATGGAACGTTGCATTACAATAGTTTTTATGTTTTTTTCCAATGTTTTCGAAATTTTGCATTTATTCGCATTACCTATGTTGTACTTATGTGTGTATATAGGTATTACTATTAGTATTGATTTATGTACTGTGTAATTAATATTACTATTTATTTATGTACACATTTACTTACATATTTATTGGAAAATTAGTTTGTGCAGTTACTATTGGAATAATAACTAATTTTGTGATAGACTTTTTGATGAGGATTATCTCACTCACAAGTATTATCTGTGTAGCTGCAGCACTGAAGATAAATGATAAGAAACTACATTGTTAATGTAGAAATGCATGGCTCTAAGTCATGTGCTTTTAAACCTTTATGTAATCCAGAGGTCGCCAAAGTGGTCTGTATAGATCCCCAGGGGTCTATTTAACAAAAGCGGGGGTCGATCGGAGACAGGGGGGCGAATGGGGGTCGATCCGAATCGGAGGGGTCGATTGTGGGTTGAAAAAAAAACAGTTCTCAATACGCAAATCACACTTACCTAATTAAGTATGTGAAATTTGTGATTTTTTTTTATAATTGACTCAATATCAGTTTCTTTATAAAACATAAATTAATAAACGTATATTTATTGGGGTGAAACAAGTATTTACGTACCACCGTGCAGTGGCACGAACTCAGCGCAGTTTATAAGTCATATGCATATGTGCGCTTGTCCAAATGTCACGTGTGACGAGCATTGACGTTACAAATGCAAATATCATACGCAGTTTCAGCTATCTTTGCAAACTGTGTTGAATATTTGCAGTGTCATTATTAAAACTT